GAATGACTTCTTTCAAGTGGTGGGGAAAGGAACTTGTGCCAAATTGCAGCCCAGTTCCTGGACAGTTACAGGAGATGTTCTTGCTGGTGGATGCAGCGTCACAACTGCAGGATGTGGAACAGGTGGAGTTGAACTTTCGACGCCACGAGGACACTGCTGACAGCTGACAGGCCGCCTTTGGCCTTCTCATGTTCTCTTCGTTTTTTGCGGTAAAGGTTGGAGATAGAAGACATTCAGAATGTTTCACTAGCCTTCCCAAAGATACATACCAAGAGAGAGCAAGCACATTTGGCAGTTTAAACAAATTGTGTGAATCTTCCAATCCCTCTGTTGGGTGATGGTGGCTTATTTGAGACCGGCAGTGTAGCAGGAACACCAACATGACTGAGCCAATCTTCAAAATTCTTTGTCACTCTTGGGATCAAAATCTGTTCTTCTTGCAGCATGCACCATGCAGGTATATACTCTTGAAAACAAACCATTTGGCATCACCTAGTTCACCACCAAAGCACTGTAGATCGTGTTTTGTTCACTATGTCAGAGAGAAAGTGGACTAAAACCCTGGTTTTGTTTGGGCTGTTTCTTTTTCCTATGGGTGAATCCCGTTTGAGGGAATATTTTGTATTTGATTCCTGGATCCTTAAGCAAATTTCCAAGAACCTATGGGGTCTTCCGGTCGAATACTTTGTGAGCTGCAACCATTTGTTGATCCCTCCTTCAGCGTTTCTTTCGCTTCCGCGAAGGGACGACTCCATCGCCATCCGCCGTGGGGTACGGCGAGCCGCTACTGCGCGGATCCGCGGCTCGCGGTTGCGGCGCGCGCGGGCGCGAAACTCATGTGAGGAGCCATATGATCTTCCCTCTGCTCTGCGCTCCAGCATGCCCAGCTTGCGCAGACTGGTGAAGCCTACTGACTGGGAACAAGTTCGTTCAAAGGTGGCCAGGTTTGCAGAGAAGTCCTCCCAGGCAGGGTGGATTTTTGGGTGCGCCATGTGTGTCCTATAGTGTTCAACACCGTCCTTAGACTCCCAAAATATGCCCAAAAATGCCAAAAGCCAAGGCACCAAAGGCACCTCTTTGTTGGGCACGGCACAGCCTCGATGCTTTTCTTTTTTCTTCGGTTTTGGGGGTTCACACCCTTCGTCCTCGTGCCAGCAGCGCCGGACCCCGCGACGCAACGGGTGTTCGGGACCTCGGTGGGATCCCGGACCCCGCGAGGCAGTGGAAGGCCTTGAACTTGCTTGGGGAACAGGTCAATCCAAACAAGTGATCGTTTACTTGTTGGAAAACGTGTTGGGGTGGCGGGTTTTCGTTTTCTTCCAGGTTCGTAAGCTGCCGAACATGGGCACACTGGTCACCATTAGTGCGGACAAACGAAGCTGCTGCGCACTTTTTGTTCTTTTCGACCAAGCCTTGTCCGTAGACAGTGATGGACCTGGAAGATCCAGTCACTCCGGTCGGGTTCCCGTATTACCACCGGTCTTGCCGGGCAAGTTGTTGAATAATGAAGATGAGATGGTTTCAACCGTGATAAAATGCGCTGTGCAGCAAGAGCAACGCATTTCAACCAGTCTTCAATTTGCATCATGTTCTTGCTTGTCAACCATGCTCCATGTTTTTCTTGCAAAGTCTTCGTTTCATCACATCCAACTGGTCTTGCTTTTCAGAGGATCCAGACCTTTCGCCCAAGAAGATCCACTCCTTGGCTGTTCAGCTCCCTGGTCAAAGTGGCTGGCTGATGGTCGAGTTGGCGACACTGCATCGGAATTCGGACGAAGGGAAGGTCTGGCTCCATCTGCCGCTCGGCGCTGGGTTTTGGCTCGTTCGGGCGGAGGGGACCCCGAGCAGGATGGTTCCGGTTTGAAGTTCTGGAGCAGGAAAGCAACGCCCTGAAGAGATAGAGTAGTTTGATTCCAAGAGTCAATTCGTTTTAGAAAAAACTTGTGTAAACCTAGGCCCCCTAAATGGTGTCTAATTATAGTCTAGCTCCTTAGAGGTATCCAGGGGTATCCATTAACCATCCCTTCGGGGGCCCTGGAAGCGGTCTATTTGTTTGGAGACATTGTCTGACATGAGGGGACAATGGTGCGATGCAGAAGAGCATTGTACCCGATGGGGTACTACTTGGTCGTTTACAAAGTACTCCCTCGGAAAGCCTTGTGTTACAGGTCTTTTGCTCTGGGGCAGAAGTCTTGTGGCGCCACATGCTTGCGCGCATGCACTGACCAGATTTCATCACAGAGAACGACAAGAACTTGCATTGCTTTGCCATGCCTGGTTCTTCAGTTGGTGACTTTTTCAAGCCCTAAACAGGTCACAACGCCCGGGTCAGGCCCGGGTCACCGAGTCGCCCCATATGTCGGGACGTCGCCGTTCACGGTGAATCCATGTTCTCCGACCCTCAAGCTGTGGACCGAAACATGGATGGAGGATTCCTCAAAGCCATTTAACCATAGAAAATACACCACCCAGACGCGACCCTGGACCCGAACCTATGAAGGAGTCGGACCCGAATTGTTTTGGAGGGGTCTGGGGTCTCAAATCCCTATGGTTTTGAGGGACCAGTCGGGCTGTTTGGAGCGTCTGAGGGACCAGTCGGGCTGTTTGGAGCGTCTGGGCATAGAAAATACCAGCTGAACCAGTTGGTGAATGAAGTTTCTCCTCCAATCCTCTGTCCTCATGGCCGAGGCACGGCTTCCGGCCCGAAAGACGCCACGCGCCGCCACACGGTGGTGCGGCCCGGGGCCATGGTGGGACCCGGCGCCGGACGGCGCGAGGGATACCGTGCGGTTGAAGCGTCTTGAGAGACCATGCGGAGCTCCGAGCAGGTCTCAGTTTACCCAGCCAAAGGCGAGTCTTAGCTCGGGTGTCCTCCCTATTGACACACCCGTACAGCGCGAGGTGTGAGGAAGACCCAGACACATCCGGACACTATACCTGTTTGGGACTGGCATGTGTACATTGAGGGGTGGCTAAAGAGTGGTCAATGTAGGCATAGTTTGGGAAAAGTATTTTGTTGTTTCTCGATTCTGGATGACTCTGATCTTGTCAAGACGATCATCATTGACATGGAATTGCACTGATGAATGACATCGGATGAATGGGAGGGAAGGCCACTTCCATCACAATGATGGATTGATTATGATTGATTCACATGGATCCTGTTCAAAGGCTCTTACCAGCGGTGGAGCCAACGTGCGTGTACAAACATTGTCAGAGCTTGGCTCCTTTTGCAGGGCTGCCGTTCATTCAAAAGGGTCCGAAGATCATCAGGGAGCCTGTAAAGCTCGAATTTAGATGAACTTCGATTCAGAAGACTGAGAAAACACAAGCCATCTCTTAGTGCAGAATTTGCTACCTGCCGTGGCCACCCAAAAGAGGGCGGTAGTTACATCACTCCTGGTCATTGAAGATCTGGGATGTGTTCTCAAGATCCGCCAGACACATGGCACAAACGATCACAGAACGAGTACTCGGATCCTACGAACGAACGTCCGTGTAGTCAACAAACGGACAAACGGCAGGTGGTAGGATCAACATATTGATCATCTCATGTGATGTTCATCATCTCAAGTTCCCAGTTTTCTTTCATTCCAGAAACTCTGGTTTTAGATATGATCACCCCCCCTGGGAGGTCATAGTGACGGTCACTGCTGGATCTGGTTTCTGGACGGGAACGGGCGCAGGCTTCCGCATAGGCAACCGCCCATTTCCCCAATCGTCCAGAGAGAGATGGAGACGGAGGAAGTACACCCCGGTTCCGAGACCCATATGGAATCTGAGAATCTGAGAACGGACCAGACTGGGGTTCCAATTTTCTACTAGGGCTTACTAGATCGAGTTCGGTGGGAGTGGATGAGAAACACGAAACTTGTAAGATTCGGACAGGTTTTGGTACAACAAAATCTGTAGAACCTAGGATCAGCAAGTAAGTAGGTTTCAGCAGGGAGTTTGGAACTGGACGCATTTACTTTATTTTACTTTGTGTTTCACAGCTGAGAACTCTCAGTCTGTGGGTCTTGAGTTTCAAATCCACGCCTTGAACCAAAATGATACCTTTGTTGCAGTTGCAGTATCTACCATCCAAAAGATATGGCCCTTCCCAATCAAAACAGCTGTCTTTCCGGGGTTCCGGGTTGTGGTGACCACCTCGTTCGGTGGGAGTAACAGCGGCCGAACGGGCTGTTCTACAGCTTGATGGTTCAAATCTTCTCCGAACGGGCTCCATTTGGAGAGGTCGGAAAAAGGTGTGGGATCTGCGATGTGCACGAAAGAAGGGGGAGGTTCTGGTCAGTCAGTCCATGCAGGTGTGATTTGAAAGAGCGAGAATTCCAGAATGTCCAAATCAGAGACTTGCAAAATCGATGACAAATCCAAACCATTCAAAATCAGTGGTTGGAGGATATTAGAGGGGTCCTACTTGGAACTACACACTCATTGGTCGATCCATTCGCAATTGGATCGGCTTTCTCTCTCGGTCGTAGGGCCTGGTGGCCGTTTCAGGGTCCAAGGCGGCTATCTACAGGTGGCACCTGAAGCTGCACAACTGACCTGTTTGGGGGGAGGCTTTTGCCCGAGCTAAACTATTATACACATGTGGAAGAAGGTGAACCTTTAAAATCTATGTTCAAGGAACATCCACTTAGGGAGTCAGTATAAGCAGAAAGCACTTTTGGTGGTTTGGACTTTGGACTTAGCACAATCCCGAAACGAGAAGCCAGTGGCTAACACATGCTAACCTGGCTGGTCCACTCTTGTATATTTCTTTTCCTCTTGCTGTTGAGGGTCCCACCATATACTCCCCAACGATGGTGGGATCACCATATTCTGTGAGACTCTCAGGAATCATTCGAATTCGGAAAAACAACACAACTTTATTCCAGCATGGCCCATGGCGTGTGCTCTGTAAAGGACTTCCTGATCCCACCAAAACATCGATCCGTTTCACCTGATCCACTCTTCCTTCGTCGCGACTTCGGCCGCCTGCGCTGCAGCCGGAGGCCGCTTCCGCTTGAAGAAGGAAGGCGTCGACACGGCCGCAGGCGCGGGCTCTGCGGCGAAGCCGCGGCAGCTTAGCTTCGGTGCTTCTCGTGGCGAAGACTGAGCAGAAAGCGGCCAAAATGAATGGGATATACCTAGCAACAGAGGTTGAAGAACTTCAAAAGACTATCCCAGTTGGGTACCCCAGGTTATGGTCCTAGTTCAGGTCACTTAACCTCTCTTGGTAGCACTTCCAATGGGTGGAGAGCTACAAGTAGTGTAGGGTTGTCCATCGGAGACCACTTGGAAGCAGCTGGCACAGTCACTGCTGTGTTCGGTGGTCACCCGGTAATCATCCATTAGCGGAACTATAGGTACAGCCTAGAGAGGCTTTTCAAAGCCCATGGTAGATGTGGATCACTACAGGAATATAAGGTCTCTCAACCTTTAGGTGTTTTGGAGGTGTTTTGTTGTCAGGTTGCGGCGAAGTCTGCCATTTCTGGGATCACCCTCTTTGACCGGTGGCCAGTGATTGAAACATTGAAAACAATTGAAATCATTTGTTCAAACACGGGCTGATGGGTCAGCCTGTCCATTCCTACCTTTCAAGCTGCACCATTCAATCAAGTCTCGTGTTTCCATGTCTCCTTCGAGGGAGATCATTCATGATTCTCGGGAAAAGAACTGGCTCTCTCTTCTTTTTAGTATAAGCTTCTTTGCAGTTTGCGCACGTCCGAGGGGGCTGGATAATTTTCAGGGATCACTTTCACGTGCGAAATTTGTGGGAGTCCAAAGTAAACACCCTATGATGTGGAGGCCGCGGAGGCCATTTTGGAGGCTGTGGTCATGAGATGTACATGCCTGGATAGACCTTTGCTGGTCGGCACAGGTGCTGGGTTTTGATCCACGGCTATATTGTTCTGATCAGGGTGAATCTAGGCTCCCATAATATAGCCAGATGCTTAGCAAAGGTTTTTCCATGTTGTACCAGGATACTCTGTTCAAGGTCCGGAGGATCTGCAAGGTACCTCGATCGGTAGGTCCTCGTCCTCGTCCCAACTGTTTGATTTCTACAGAACTGGGCGACGTAAGTGTTGTCCAACGGACCCAAAAGCGAAACGGACCTCTCACGGTTCCATTTCCAATTCATGATCATCCACATGTGAGGAACACTTCCCAATTGCAGCCCTTGGGTCAAGGAAACATGATCTAAAATCCGGTGGCTGGATCTCCCTCATCAAAAAGGCCCCTCTTGAATCTCAGTCAGACTGAGCCAGATGTGGTGCGCCCCGCCGAAGTGGTCAGGGGCGAGCCAGGTGACGCCCACAAACATGGTGTTTTGTACGCCGAGGATCCTTTTTCGGCTGAACAGATGTCTGGTTTCTTCAGCCCTGTTGGGGTTCTTTTCAGCCGAACAAAAGAGTAAGTGTAATTGCTGCAAGTAGTATATTACAAATTGTAGATGCAAGTACTGGGGTATATTGCAATTACATTGCTATAGTAAAGTGTCTCTTGCACCTTATTGTAGTCGTTTCGACTTTCACCTCACTGCCTTCCACGGCTTGTTCCTTCCCTCGACCATCTCTCGGAGATGGAGTCCGAAGCGACAGTCGAGGCTGGGACGAGCGAATGAAGAAACTGGAGAAGGATGTCCAGCGCCTTTGGCGACGTCACAGAGCTCCGGCTGGGGGGAAACCCTGTTTGTTTTGGACTCGTCTGATCCAGTGCGTCCATGTTGATGTTCGGGGCTCCCCTTCGCGGATGGCACCCCCGGAGGAACTTTCGTCTTGGAACACGTGGAAGCGGCACGCTGATTCATGACTCATGAGGCAACATGTAACATGACTGGAACAGAATTAACTTGTTCCTTCATGTTTGCACCCTGATGGGAAGAGATACTATCACAAGCAAGGTAGCAAGGTTTATGACTCATGATGACCCATGCCATCTCAACAGATTGGGGGTTGAGCACCGCGCTTCCATACCCCGCTGGAATGATATAGATTTTGTCTTTGTCTCCTCATCCAAACGATCGAGAAGTCAGTCAACATCGATCAACCCAACCCCATAGGCCTAGGCCTAGCCTTCAAAGACCATCAAATTTCTTTAAAGAAAGGTTGACTAAGGTTAATCTGGTCTTGGCCTAAAATATCAAAAATTCTTAGTAGAATCATGTAGACTAGTGGTTGTTCGTCAAATACCACCCTGCACATCATGGTTCATGGGCCACGAATCCGGGGCTCAGAGACTCGGGACTGGGACTGGACGACCATCACGCTTGACCCCAACCACCCCAATGTTGGTAAAGCAATCCCAGCACGAAACACGGGCAGGACGACTCCCAAATAGGGAAGTCGTTGCGAATTCATGATTTTAGAGCTGTGATGTGTGTGATGTGTTTTTTCCGTCGTTGCGAAGCCTGTGCTGCTTGTGTTTCGAGTTTATGGAAATGATAGCGCTGATATTGGGCTAGTGACGCGAGGTCGTGTCTAATGTCTGTGCCTTTCGGAATTGGACACCATGCTGTACTCACCCACTCGTTGCCCCCATCATGTGAAAGATCCAACCAGAGAAAGCTAATGATCCAGATGCTTCTAGGCAACCCATGCTCTTCTTAATCCATGGGGCAAGTCACTTGTGGTTGTGACTGCACTGTTTTCAAAAGGCGGTTGCGCCATTGGGGCAGGCAGCTTGCTGGATGAAACATGTTGTTTGGATTGACACATGCAGTGCTTGGCCTTGTCTTTGGCCCAAGTTTTGTGGCCACAGTTCTGTTGATTGCTTCGCAATGGAGACGCCGCAGAGGAACAGAGCCCGGGAAGCATCACCAGAGTCGGCCAAGGATCTGGCCTGAAGGTTTCCAAGGGCTTTCTCGACATCGCGTGTCAATTTGTCCCATCCAACCATTGTCAGAGGAAAGTTGGGAGACCTTTCGACCATTGGTCAAGGCGACGCCGAACAGCGAGTCGCTGACAGGCCCGTTTGCCGGTGGAAGCAACAGCTTGCAATGCAGAGACCACGAGGACTTACAACGAGTGGGAAGCACTCCTGAAAGAGTTCGAAGTGTCCGATTCGGAGCAAAATCAAAGTGGACCAAGCCCATAGAGTCATTGTGGTGGACGAGAAAGGCTTCTCACAGAGGGCTGACAATCTCTCGAAAGGAGTCATTATAGCAACAGCCTGAAAAACAAAGCTGGCGCTGTACCATGCGAAGTCCAACCAAACCGCATACAAAATACATCGATATCGTTTCTTTATGGGCATGAAGCACACTGCAACATTGGGAAACCTTGATTGCAAGGGCTTTGCTGGGTTACCGGTCGTGGCGGTCTGTGCCATGAGGGCTTGCTGGTCCCCGGATTTTCCTGGTTTACAGTACCTTTTCTCCACCCGAAGAGGACGTAGAGTGGCCCAAAGTGGACTTGGAGGAATCAACCCCTCAACCATGGTGCAAGACAAAACCTTTACTGCCGGGGGATGGCGGGATGTCGCCCCCCACGAAGATGTCCAGAAACTTTGCTAAAACAACATTTTTCCCGAGTTTTTGCTCCAAGTGAACACTTAACTTGTCCATACGAGACTAACCCCGTGTTCCTTTTGGAATTGTCCTCCATCATAAATCTGATCATGTTTAGAATCAATACTCGAATAAAACAAGCCACAACTGCCACGCAAAATAGACCTTCAATTTCAAAAAGCGGCTGATCCGCACGTTGTGGCGATGCACGCAGACAACCTTTTTGCTTTTGCTGCAATATAGTTTGGGTGATTGTGCACCGAACCCAGTAACAGTCCGATTCTGAAAATAGAAGGCCCTTCTATGAGGAACACCTCGTGCTGCAGATCGGCTCAGCTCAGGTCTTCCTCCAAGATGATCACTTTCTGGCAGGAGAAACTGGAAGAATGGCACGAAGACGTCACTTGGCACGTCGGGCGACGTCACTGGGCACGTCGGGCGAGGGTTGCTTCGCCACGCTTCCGCTGGCTGTAGCTGATGTTCTGTACTTCTTGGGGTGGAGCAGCCCAACTGTTGAAGGGCGTTGGGGAACTGCCCACCGATGGAAAGACAGGTCCCAGAAACTGAGAGCTCGGGATAGGCATGTGGATAGAAAAGGGATAAGCATAAGGAAAACTGAACTTTAAACTGCACGTAGACAGATCTACATCCTGGAAGAGACCCACATGGACCCTGAAAACCCGTGGGTTGGTATTGAAGATCGTCTTCCGGTCTGGTGTATATGCCAGTCGCCCGGTTCCATGTGCATCTCAGAACCCCGGTGTATCCAATTTGGAATTCAAGACGCCCACCCTTGAAGCAAGGGGAGGTGAACCTTTCTTAGTCCTTCAACCTTTCTTAGTCCAGCACAGCCGCGACGCATCCCTCAGACACTTCTGTTCTACATGATTCTACATGGAGGGTCCAAACAGGTTTTGACCTGGACAAATCGCTTAAGGACAACGGACCTAGCACTTCGTGTTTGGGTGCCCTGTCTGGAGGCCTATAAGCAGGGTAGGGTAGTCTAGTGGACACCCAGACAGGATGGTCCAGGGAAGAAGCCGAGACATGTCGAGCTCATCCATCGCACCAAGGTGTGTAGCTCAAGACATGGGAAACCTCCCACGCGTTCCGACCCCCTGGTAGGTTCGGAATTGGTGAACCAGAACCCAATGGGCCAGGGGTCTCATTTCAATTTACACACCACCTTTCGCATCCGATGCAAAACCTCAACCTTGCCTTTCAACATCTTTCAACCGTCCGCGGTCGGAGGAGGTGTCGATTGTCCCCCGTTTCTGGGTGAATCCACTCTGAATCATGTATGGCGCCTGGTCAAATGGAGACCACCGGTCGTGTACCACCAATAGGTATATGGTACCTGGCACCGACCCCGCTACGATTCTCAACGATCTGAATCCCGCGCAGCTCGCAGCCAGTCGCAGCCTCCAGGTCCAGGAGCGCTGTGGGGATGAGGTCCTGGAAGAGCTTTTGAAGCTCTCAGAGGTCGAGACCTGGGAGTCGCGTCGTTCGCGGTGGCCACCGAGGCCGTATGGCGTTTGAACCCGTGCTCCATCCGCTGCCATGTGGAAACGGTCGTTCCGTTTCTTTGATCCCGCCACCGCGACTCTTCCAATGAACGGAAGAGTCGCCCTTGCTGGGAGCAACTAGGGTTGTAGATGTTCTTGCTTTTGACTCCACACTCAAATGGCCCATTTGTACCCCGAATTGGTAGCGGAGGCTGACACTTCAGATGAGGTAACATGAGTCATTGGAAGTGATGGGGATGCTGGTTTCGCTTGGGATGGTGGCTAGCAGTTGGGCTTTCTTGGCTTTTACAAATGGCTGAGAGTTCTCTAAGTCTAAGTAGATGATAACAGACCACCTAAGGTTGCAGAGAGGATGGGACCAGACTGGGGGGGGGATTTCTCAGGAGGCGTAGATCCCCTGTCAATTCGCATTCATCTTTCCTTGGTTGTGACAATCGAGCTTGGATCCGGACCTAGCAACCCTGATAAATATAAATATGTCCCTTCAAACATGTTTGGAAAAAGGTGATGATCAATTTGTGGGCTAGTATACTACCCCAAATTAAATTCACCTGCTGCACCGGTATATTCTTTTGTATTGACATGTGAACGCTTGACAGCTTGCCACCGATGGTGTCAAGCAAGCAGCAATTATACTGGAATCACCTGGAATCGAATGATCCAGAGATTTACAAGCGGATCTTCAGAAGCAAGAAGTTAGCCTTCAATGCTCCGCAGATAGGACCGGTAGAAGAGGCTTCAAGAAGGTTTCGTGATCCTATAGTCTTTCTATCTCGCACTAAACTGGTCTGTGAATGTGTCATCCTGCTTCCATCATCCAGAATAATCCTTTGTCTTCAGAACCATCGAGAACCCACCGAATCACCGGAACAATGGAACATCTCTGTAAATGCAAAGATATCAATCCATCTTCCTGGGGTTTGGCTGATCGGATTCTTCCGAAACTGGGTCTCATGTGCCCTGTCTAAGGGAAAAGGGTGTTGTTTTCATCACTGGATCCAAGTCGAGCTGCAAATCCGCCCTGAAGCTGCTCAAGAGATCAACAAGAGATCAATCCCAGTCTAGGATCGACCCCCTGCTGGCCTCGGATCGCCAGGAAGATGCCTCGGATCGCAATGCAGGGGCGACCTGGGTGGAGTTGTGTTTCCGGGTGGCGCGGACCGTTCGCTCTTCAACGCAGATGCAGTCCACCCTTTCCGGGTCGCCAGTCGCTCCAGGTGGGACTGGGTGCCGGTCCTGTCGTACCTTCGGAAAAAACGACTGGAGCCCTAGAGGGTTGAACATGGCGCGGTGATTCCTAGAGGGGGTGAGACACACGGTTGAACCAAGGGGTTTGCGGTGTTTGGGAAGCATTGGGATTGCTTTCCCCAGAGTTGGTCTTGAAGGTGGTTGTTGATACGAGTTGTGAATACCTCGAAGCTGAGTGACCTCCAATCATTGGACCACCTCGAAAGCAAGGCTCCAAGGAATGTTCCCTCCAAAAACTTTGAAAAGAAGGAGCTATACATCACCTATAAAGCCATCTATCTAGCCATCGATCGAGGCCCCTCCAAAATGGAAAAAATTATCACACCTATCAGACCGTCGCTCCCCTTCAACAGACCGTTGCTCCTCTTCACTCACTGCGCAACGTCAAACCTTTCAGGTGGTTCCTCTCCATGAAGCCTTGCTGAGGCGTGGCGTAACGTTTTCACGAGTGTCTCCGGACACCGGTAAAATGGGAAGGATGTGGTGTCACCAGTGTCTGGAAGGTGTCAGACGATTTTCAAGAGGAAAAGCATAAACAAACAGACCATGTTATAGTCCTATCAAGTGTCTCAAGATTCTTTGCATGGCCCCTTTTTGTATATAGTTCATTATGAGATTAAACAAATACATTGTACTTGTGTAACACAGAGTCTTCGTCAAGCGCCAGTATACCACAATTTTGTTACTCTTCCCGCGCAAGTTGCGCGTGTTTCTTGGTTTCAGGCGTGCGCGTGAAGAAAAGGAAGAGCTGGACAAATTGGAGGAGGCCGTGTGGGTCACAGGTTCAATCTGCACGTGTGCAGCACGCTGAGACGTGGCGAAAACTCGATGGGACTCCAAATGGGACCAGCATTTTCCTACGAAATGTCTTCTTTTTGGTGGGATTAGAGATGATTAGAGCAGCCCTATTCCAACAGAAAGGCGCCCGGCGCATGGGATTTTACGATGTACTCATTGGAGATTTCGGGATCGATGACAGTTTCGTGGGATTTCAGTATGTTTGCAGTAGCTTAAGCGTGTAAAGCAATCACCTATAGTTTGGGTCTGTCCTACTACTGTAACAGTCAGTAAACAATTATCACTATTTTCGAGCAAGGCCTTTACTAACCATCATCATCCACTGTTACTGGTAATAGGATAGACCCAACCTATAGTGGTTCTGATGTTCTCTTCATGAGCCAGCGGTTTGCCAGTCAGTTTCTCCTTAAAGCAATCCTGAAGAACCCACCGATCGGACCCTTCGCCTCGAAGTAGAGGAAGGCAACGTGCACCTGTTTGCACTTCTGGGAACTCCGAGAGAAATGCAACGTGCCGTTTTTTGTTGATTCCAACTCTTTGGTTTTCTGTTCCACCATGGCTTTTTAGGAACTTAAGTTCTTAGTTGTTTACATCATGGATGTCCCTGTACCAAGTAGTTGCAGAGTTGCGTCGATCTGTGCAACGAAGGTGTATTCCATACACTTGGGACATGCTGTTGAGTAGCATGTCCCAGCTCCTGGTGGGGCTGAGATTGTCTTCAGATCAGACCATTTGTCTTCACGATATATGAACTGCCACATATTCTGGGACACCCACATAGTTCTGCATCCCTTCAATCCCTTCTTTTCGGGAAGATGTTGATGGGCTTCTATCACCGACCAAATACGAGGTTCTGCCCACCCCCACCCTACAAGGATGATGACCGATTCCCTTCGACCTTCTTCCAGACAACAGCGATCAACACCGAACATAGCGTTCGAACCTTTGCACAAATCGCGTACCGGTACGCTTTCAAGCCACCGAAGGGGGCCGGTTCCGTTGGTTTCCGGTCCCGAAATGGCCATGTGCTTTGCGACGAAAGGAAGGGAGTGACAGGTGGGTGACAGGTAGGTGGCTTCTTTCATCCTCTGTGACCCTTCCCTTCTTCCCTTCCAGCCTTACTGTCTTGGGTGTGGAAACTAGCCTTAGGGAGACCCTCCCAGTTCGATCCCTTTCACCTTCGCGAAGGTTTGGGAGATGAACATCCATCGCTTGGGAGACCCCTACTGACGGGGACTGGGATGCCGAATTATCATAGGGGTTCTTCAACCTGTGTTGGATTTTGATATCTCTTCGGCTGTATACTTGCAAATTATGGATTCAGCTGCTGACCCGCTGTCTAGAATACATATCTAAAGCTCCGAAAGCTCCTCTGGGGCCTTGCTGCTCCTCTCGTCTCGTCTGCTTGGTGTCAACGGTCTCCGTGGGTGGCCAAAGTCTCGTCTCGCCCGGCAGGTGCAGCGGAGCGTGAAGGAACGCTTGGCCAGTGCTATGGAGTGCGGAGACCCGTGCAGAGTGAGGGTGGCTGTTGGGTGCGGAGTGCCACGCTGGAGGGAAAGGGTGAGTTTAGTGATGTGGAGAAATCTCCTAGATAGAGAAGGGTGGGAAGATTGGGAAGATGATGGAAGAGGGGTTTGGCTGCCAGTTTGGCTTGATGCCTATGGGGAAGGGTGCCAGGGTCATGGATTCCCTTTTGAGTGAGTGAAGTATGTCACAAGTCCATACAATTCCATGTGTTGCGAGTCAGGAGCGGTTTTTTAATGGAAAGGGCCTGCAATCTAACCATCATCATCCACTGTTACTGCAATAAGATAGACCCAATCCATTTGTATCATGCTTGAAAAGTTGTCAGCCAAGGTCCAGGCGGGTCAATTTAGCAACTCTTTGCTGGGGCATGGATAGCCCGGCTCCTGGTGCCCAAACCAGAAGACCTCAAGACAGTTGATGCTCGCTTCTTCACCAAGTATCGCGAGGACCAGCTCAACACGAAGGGAGTCATCAAGATGGCTTTTTTATTGACTTCATTTGCACTGAACAGCACCTGAATAAGACAATGACATGACGAAGCAGGGTCAAGCGCTTGTTACACTTGATGATCGAGATGTCTCTTGTTACACTTTGGACCCAGCACGGCTATTCGCTGGCTCTCCAACGGCGAGCGGGAAATCACTGGAGGATTTACAACCATTTACCCAAGCAGCCTATTAGCTGCCGTTTGACTCCTTTGTTCATCACTGGGAGTCAACTTCTCATTTTTGTAAAAGACGTCCGAACCACTGGCGATCACAGCTGCACCGTCGGGCCATTGCAGAGAACAACCGTCTGGCCGTCTCGGGCTTAGACGCCGCCCTTCAAGACTTTGCAGAAGTACAGTCCAACCCCTAGGGATCCAGTCGTACCTTCTCAGGTGATTGGAGACACTTTCATGTAGGTGCCAGTGTTGGGTCCAGTCGTACTTTCTGAGGTTTGGTACGAAAAGGGATTCCTAGGGAACAAGCGGCGCCACGATCCTTTTCCACAACGTCGACGCATGTCGTCGACCAGGTCGTACCTACCATGGCTAAGAGACCGTGGCAAGGGCGCAATTTGAGGCTCCTGAGAGTTCTGCAAGGAGTGACCCTGGTGTACTTGCCCACCACCACTGGAGGCTCCACAGATGCTCCGGCGTGGTGATAGAGAGGGATCACAGATGGACAGTGCAACACGGCAAAGTGCAACCTGGCGAGTGCAACATCACCAGACTCTCTCGGTCCTCTAGAGAACGCCTCGCCTCGCAGATCCAGTTCTCACTGCCTTCGCTGCGGCGTTCGCCTCCCGGCTTTGACCATTCTTCTTTGGAGTCTGCAGTCCGAAGCTGCTCACAGGGTTGTGTGTTTTTTCCCCACTGCCGAAGCGACGTTCCGCCGTTTTCTTTCATATTCTGTTTTGCCGAAGCCTGGCATGTTTTGTTTTTGCTTGACCGGCCTACATGTCAGGCACCCTACCTCTGGCAATTGTGGGGTCCGAAACGAACTTGTTTCGCATCATCTCCTGCTTAAACCTTCTTTTGACTGCAATGCATAGGCTGCTTAGGCTGCTTAGGGTAGTTCAAAGCCGTAGTGAAGCAGTCCGCACGTAGTTTCCACAGTCCGTAAGGACTCAGCTTATCTTCATGGTGATCATGGTAGGCCCGCAAACTGGTTTTCATGTCGATCTGAGTCAGGGCATCCGGTGACCTCATGGATTCGTTGGTTTTGTTGGACCCACACACACGAGGCACGATCGAGGCACGTATTCAATACACACAGCACTCACCATCTGATACAATCTGATACTAGCCGCTACTAGCCACGCACTCGGACATCCACGGGAGACGCGGATTGAATACGATACAATGACGGTAAACCATGGGAACATATGGGAACCCTTCCGGGTGGATCAGATGCACTTACCTCCAGCGACCACGAGCGACCACGAAACCGCCGCAAACCGCCGTTCCGCGAGTTCGCGCCGCGCGGCATGAAGTCGCTCGGGGCAACGAAGCACGTGCAGGATGGGTGAGTTCTCCTTGCACGACCTGCAGAGGTGCAACCGGGCGCGGAGTCGGGCGCAGCGGTCAGAAACCTGAGTTGAAATGTCCCAGAGATCCGGATGAAGGGAGCTTAAGTACCTTAAGTCTATTGTTATCATGTATGAAAATGTATGAAATACTGTCAGTATATGTTATGTGTACCACACATTTTGCTGAGGTATGTGCATGGGGTATAATTAGAGAAAACTCCCTAGAATCATTAGGTCAACTCCATTTTTTGCACACTTGAGGTAGCATTCCCATACCTCAGCATCAATCTACCTTCAAGCAGTCGTGCAGCTTGCGCAAGCAAACCTTAGCGGCGATCCTGCGACCGGGGCCGCCCTTTTTGCCAACGATGGGATCCTGTTCCGCCCTTTTTGGATGACCTGCGTACGATCTGCTGCCAGCAAGCCCAAATGAGTTGCACGATCTTTTTGGGAACACAGCTCACAGCGCTACATGTTAGGAGGAACTCTTGTCATGGCCGCGAAAGCATTTCCGCATGTGTGTCATCACGCGCGAAGGCTTGCGTAGCCATTTCGCGTAGAGTCTACTTTGTTTCGTTGCGAAGGCATTTTGCGAAGGCCGTTTTTCTCATGCATGTGCTTTGTAGAATGAAGCTGACACAAAACCTGGAGGTATGGGTACATAGTGGCTGTCCCCCACCGTTCAAATGGGGTGACGGTGGCACGGTGTTGTCACATTCAGGGTGAGTCAGGATGGCAACCATGGCGGTGGTCAAGAGCATTATAATGTATTACATAGTATCTATTAAATAACAATAATATGATAATCATATGTACATCAATGAATCAATCATATTGCATTTAGGGTTTAGGGTTCTTCACATGCCCCCGTTGGTGATGTATGTATCGGAGGCAGCAGGTTTGGATTTTTCTTGGTTCCATGCTTGTCATAGATGGCCTCTTACTATTGGTTGGTTGATTAGTAGAGGGAATACCCCCAACAGCCAAACAGTATATGCTACCCCTCTATTGCCAAAGGGACATCACTGATGCTGGTTTAAAAAAGGTCGTGCTTGAGGTTCTCGTACTTTTGTTGCAGCCCAGGGGAGTCAGCAGTGCTATCTCCAGCTTCCAGCAGAACAGCCTCTCAGTGGGAGGGCCCGAGCATGTGTAGCATGGTTCTCAGAGGTGGACTGGACTGCAGATGAACACAACATGAAGAAGACAGTCATGGAGTCATGGACTAAGCAAGAACTTCGGGGTGAAGACAGGCATGAAAACCAACGACTTTGGGGCCATCGCTGTCGCGGTCGATCAGAATGAAAGTTAATCAAAGGCTCAGCAGACTCCTCCGCCTCTTTGCGTGATGTTTTCCTCGCTGACTGAACGCTATACAGACGGAGACAGACTGAGGGTTTGAGATATGATGATGGACCCAAGAGTTAGGCATTGAAGGGACACATTTAAGCCACCACTTCCAGTACTAAACATACATCAAAAGACCCTGCTGCGATCACAGGTGTGACCTGAATTCCGCTCTAACCTGGCTGTGCAACTATTCACGTCCATGCAGTAAGAGTGGATGAAGTGTTGTTGGAGTATTCTTCCACGGCACCTCCAACCATATCCAGAAGATGTTCCAAGCCAATGATAGCCTCCCTCCTGCCTGCCGGAAGTGGTTTCACCCACCACCTGTTTTGGAGGAACATGGTCTTCCCGGGAACCATGCCACGTTATCATGATCATTTCAGGGAGTGTACTCATATATATGGCCACCAGGCCACGCCCCTATGGTCCCCCGTTTTTTCGTTGACGTGGATGCGAGCTCGAGAGCTCCAGGCCACCCCACACGAACCAAGGTGGGAGTGGATGTGGATCAAGAGGACGACGGTGAAAGGACCGGAGAGTGGGGAAGAGCGAGTTCCGCGCGGAACCCGCGTGTTCCGTCATGGCGCAGACGTCAGTCGTTGGATGCAGACATCCTCGTTTTCGAGAGTCGCGGGGTCTGTCTCATGAGTGATCAGATGGCCTGAGCTGATGAAGAATGGATTGCATGGGGCAAAGCTGCTTGACATCCTTGTCCTCCTTCCATCTTCTTCCCTTTATTTGGTCTACTAATTGCCAATGGCAGATCAAACCACATACAGTGGTTTCAGAGTAGATGGCATAATCCCCAAAAGGTTGTTTGTATGGAGCCCTATACAAAAGACATCAAAAGACATGCCATGGTTCACCTCTGAAACCAGGGTCAAACCACCAGGCGTCCTTGTAGCGCCGCGCCCGGTCCAAGCGCTGTGTGCGGCATGACACTTTTGAGAGCCCTATACCCAGAGAAAGATCCTGGGTTCCGGGAAGGTGTTTGCTGCGTGGAAGAAGCATGAAGAAGCAAGAATGGTATGCAATGGCCAGCGCCAGCTCCCTCCCCTGGCAGAACATGATCGTGCATATTTTTGTAAATGGAATGGAACATACATACAACTCCAGGAGCAAGTCAACAATTCGTCCATGTTATCTCCCGGTGCCTGGGGAGAACCATTCTTCGCGGCTTTGCTTCTCCACTGCACGTTGCGAACTTGGCAAACAGGTGAAGTGTTCAATCTCCATAGAGCAGAGATGTCCTCATGAACTAGCAGTGATCTCACACTAAGATGGACGACGATTCCGGCCAGTCAAGGGCCACCTGGCCTAGTCAGATCACTTCTTGGGGGAAGTAGTTTGGACTCGCCATTTTTCTTCACAAAAGAACTGAAGCCTTCGGGAATGAGTCAAGACTTGGAGGTCTGGAGCCAGGTCGTCGATGTAGCGAAAGACTGACATCAGGTAGGTCAACCAGGCAAATCACTTCAAAGAGCCCTTCGCCGCCCGGTCCATCCATGGGGATGGATCGGTTCACCCCCCTCTGTTCACCCTGCCAGGTCGTCCGCACTGGTCGTGACCCCGTGCTTGCGAGGTTGAGTCGGTCAGGGTGCCATGACCAGCCACTTGGCTCTTCCAGCGCTGTGGGGTGTGGCGAAGCGGCAGGAGCAAGCCACGTGCATCCATCTCGCCACAAAAACGCTTGGGCAGGCGGGGTAGAGGGAGGTGGAGGTGGGGTCAGACCGAATGGGAGAGAATTGCGACCGTCCGAAGCGCTTTGAAAGGGAATTCTTGGGTGGCATCGTAGGGACCCTAAAGAGCTGAACACAGTCTTAGACTGACACACTTTGGTAGGACTAGGTTTTTGGGAGGTCTCCCTGTTCTGATATGTATTTGTACCCCCATTTGCTTGAGTACTGAAGGTGTGGGAGCCTAGAAGGCTCCAGCCCTGCAAGGAACCTTCAACCCAGGTGGAGGTCCAACACTTCTGCGAAGCTGATGCTGTGCTGACACATCATCGGTTCGACTCCTTACATCTCTTTACGGTCAAACAAACCACTAATATTCCCTACCAGGGCCCCTTTTTTTTTTCAGGAGTGTCCCATCATAACTCCTTAGAAACCTTCTCTGGGTGTCGAACTTGATCACCCCATGGCCCGCCCTGGTACCAACCTCATTGAGTTCCCCAGGAGTCACGCTTCGACCGACGGGGTCCCGGTCGTCGTCGGGGTGCCCCGAACTGTGGACATCCACGGCTGGGACGAAGCAAAGCACCGCAGCTCCGTCCTTGTGACTCCTGGTACTAGTGTTCTTGTATGACTGTACGATCAACTTCACCAAAGGTCGGCGTCCCGAACTCCCGCCACCAAAGGCTTCGGCAGGCTTCGCATGCCGTGCTCGGGCCAGGGCGGGCCAGGGCCGGGCCAGGGCCCAGTCATACCTTCAGGTACTTGGAGCTCTATGGCTCTATGGATGTGGGGTCGCACAAAAGTGACGACGCAAACCGACCCGGCGCCACACACGAACGACGCCACGAACGACGCGGCTCTTCGTTCGTCCCGAGAAGAGGATCGGCCGCGCAGGCCGACGCGCAGCAAGATGACGGCCGTAGAGGAGAACAACACACACGGCTCGCCAGCACCCCGTCGGTGACGGGGTGGTGGATCATGTGGATCGGGAAGGTGATAGACCTGCACTATGATATGACCCAGACACTCCATGGGACTGCCATATATGCCGCCCCATTGACCCCCAAAACCACCTCAATGTAGGCATTATATATGGCATACATGGAGTGTCTGGGTGATATGGAAGTCAAAGTCAAAGACCAGTTTTAAAGTGGTTGATCTGGTTTGTAAAACCCTTAGTGAAACAATGGTTGTGCCTGTAAAGTAACAGTTGGTACACGAGAACATCAACTATTTTAGAGAAAGACCTGCAACCTAAGGACTCTCTAGACTCTCTAGACCCTAAGTGATACCCTAAATAAATGTAATACGTGTACAGCCACTAGGATCCACTCACCGACCCCCTGATGATTCCCCCAAAGCACGGACATCTGCCAGTCGGTGCGTGGGTTCACCTCCTACCCTACATGGAAGTTGACCACCTTTATGTAGTACGAAAATCGGAAACTCATTTTCCCAACAGGCCAGGAGTGTGAACACCTTGACCTTTATTCTCCAGACAAACTATGGGGTTCCGCTTTTGGAACACCCACCAGAAGGAGACGAGGCCTTTGCTTTCTCAAGTCCAGTGTACCCATCCAGTGACCATCATCAGTGACCTGCATAGTTTGTTTAATCATTAGGAAGGAGTTGTTCCAAAGCCTTGTAAAAACAATAATAGACCTAGAGCCCCCAGTTGCTTGTCTAGTGGTGACTTGGAGTCACTGGGTAGTAAGGGGGATCACTTACCTCCTCTGACCCAGGGATTTTGTGCAGCCACCTTCTCTCAGCTTGGGGATTTCATCGGCTGTTTGCAGTTGGATGTTCTTCTTGATAGTCCGGGTTGGCCATCCACCATGTCTGGAAACCCGCATAAACCCCAGGCATGGTTCAACCCCCCCTCGTCTGCCCCCAAGCAACTGCAGGATAACTCTTGCTCCGATGTCTGCGCCATCTCTCGGTGTCCACGAATGATGCTGTCTTGGGTCTGTCCGAACGGAAACCCGAAACAGTCAGGTTTCACATGGTTTCTTGTTCGAACATCGCTATGTTTGAACTGTCGGCCTGCAAGTGAAACATGCTCCTCATCCACGGGCCCTGGATGAGAATAGGATATACCCTCCCTCCAACAAACATGGCCTCTTGGAAGACTGTTTTCCTCTACAAACCGGTGGTTTTCCTCCACGTACACCATGATTCTTTCAGGGAGGGTAGACCTAAACTGACTGGTGCGACGAAAGCAGGGTGGCTGAGGGTGGCTGGATCCAGAATCTCTAGACAGGGGGCTCATTCCCTTCCCTTATTCCCTACTTTCGTCGCATCAGTAGACCTAAAGTACCAAAACACGGTCTTTTTATATACCCTAGGGCTCCAAGTACCTCCTTAGAAGGTATTTGGACCCTCTAAACCCTCTGCAAACACCTTCTAAGAAGGTACGACTGGAGCCCTAGGGATATGTTCTTTTCCACTGACGTCTTGGCGCCGACGGGACCAGTTCGCCAGGACGGACTGCCTTCAAAACGGCCAGACCCGGCCGTAACTCTCGGCAGCTCCGTCCTGGCAGTCCCAGATGGCGGTCGTGTCTGGGTTGAAACTCACCAAGTTCCTCAGCAAGTTTTGAAACTCTGCAGTTGATCGGTGCAAAAGCCCAATTTCTTGAGCGTAGGATGCCTCAACGGAGTAGCTCTGACCTGCTACTGTAGCCACGGGCGCTTCATACTCGCAGGTGATTCTTGGTTTCCTTGTCCCTAAAGTGTCTTTCAAAGTAAGGAGAACGGATATCTAGCTGGTGGTTTTGGATGTTAGTGAGTTGAAACTACCGACCAGATTCAACCAGATATTGAAACACCCGAAATACCAGATGGTTTTCTCAGCAAACCATCCGATAGCCACTCACCGCATGCAAAGCGTCGTTGGCGTCAGGAGAAGCGTCAGCAGCTCGCACGAATGCGGATGAGTACCATTTCGGCCATCCCACCATGAATTGGATGTGACTGGATGTGGGATGGGCGGGACTTCCCAAGTTGAGCAGCTCAACCACCACAAACTTGTGGAGTTATATAAATATATAAGAACATGTTCCGGGGAAAATGGTTGGTTTCGCCCCAGCCTTTCCCTTATCCAATTCGCCGAGCCCAGAAACAGACTTGGAAACGAACGAACGAACGGATAAACGCAGGGACCAACAAACGCAAAGATCAACGGAGTTGACTTCGGGACAGTAGCAGTAGCAGCAGTAGTTAGTAGTTTAGTAGTTTAGTTATAGTAGCAGTAGTAGCAGCAGTAGTAGTACTAGTAAGTAGTCGTAGTCGTAGTCGTAGTTGTAGTTGTAGTCGTCGTGGTGGTGATACTCCCTACTTGGAAAGTCGATGCGTTTTGTTTTTTTGTTGCGTTTCCTTGCGGAGGAATTGTTCTGGAAGTCGGTGCGTGTTGCGTTGCCTTTGTGTTTGGCAAACCATGTTTTGATGAGCTTGTTTGTTTACATGCGTTTTCCACAAGCGCTTTCAAGCCACATGTCTTGTCACCATTGGTTTTCACATTGTGCGGAAAATCAAACTTGACAAGTGCTCGTGGTCATCGTGGTCTGGCTAAGTTGATGCCTCTAGAATTCGTTGAGGGTAAATGCTTTTCGGCCCTACAAGGCACAAGGCCTCTCATGCAAGATGTTCACAAGCCTTGATTTTGGAGAGAGAGGTGAGAGAGCCAACCAAAGAACAATGCCTCATACAATGCAGGTTCATGGCGCTCACAAACCATGTGCAAGGCAGCCAGGCATGACAATTTACAAGACACTTAGAAGTAGACAGCAGTGCTGGGTTCAACTCCTGCGTTTTCTTCGATGCAATGCCAAGCAAGACTTCAAAAAGTTGAAGCATTTTGCCAGAGATCATGGCCACGCCACCTCCTGGTGCTCCGACTCACTGTAGCATCAGAGGCTGTTTCTTGCCTGAATCAACTTTGTCTTGCGATGGGTGTTGTTTGTACGGTGCTGCTGGGCATTTTTTGTTAGAGTTGTTTTCGAGCAGAGCATTTTTCCCCTGCAGGGTTTCCTCATGCATCTCAGGTTCCGCCAAGATGCATGCTCCTGTCCACAATGTTCGCTGGAAGATTTGGGTGGCCCATTGTGAGACTCGGTCAAACATGCTCTGAGTCTTTCTTTTTTTTTGTCGCATGTGCTTTCCTAGGTTTTTCTGTCTTTCATTGTGGGGATCAGGATTTGGAGCTTCTATCCTCCACTGGCCGTAGCAGAGCAAGTCATCACGCATGCTTCTTGCTACTTGCCGGCATGAACCTGAATGTAGCTCCACATGTTGCTTTTGTGTGGTGTGTTTCTTGTGGTGGAGGCAGATTGAGACATTGTGTGGATGTTTCAATCCAACTGTCTAGTGACTAGTGCTTTGATGCTAAGTTGGAAGAACAGCTGGCGGTCATCGTCCCGATTATCTGATACGATGAAGAAATTGCAGGACGTTTTGTCAGTCGCTTCCTTTTGAGCAGTGACATTGTGTTCGTGGCGTGACTTTGATCAGTGCGTTCCTCAAAGGCTTAGGTTTAGCTGATTTCAAAGATGCACGAGTGTTCCAGCGCATTCCATGCATGATGCAGGAAGAAGACCCAGACCATTCAGAGCCACAAGTGTTTCAAGCTGTACCAGGACCATCTCGTGTGGTCCGCCTTGTGTTGCCCATTCCTTGCTGCAGCTGCATTGCAACTTCTCTGGAGCCCACCTATCCTTTCTATGCCTGCAACACACATGCGAAACTTTCCTGTCTTTGGCCATTTGTGGCTTCATTTTGGGGTGTGGTTTCTGAGTCTTCGCCGCTTCAGTGCGCGCAATGACCACTCGAAAAGCTCTTTTGAAAGCGCACGCAGTCAGATGGAATGCTGTCCGCAAAGAGCTGCGAAAAAAATGCCGCCTTGCTGCACTACCGGTAGAGCGAACCTTGGCAGGTGCTGTTCGCGCAGGCATCCTCGAACCTCCGCGTGCAAAGGCAGAGCCGAAGCTTTCATCGGACCACAACAGAAACCCGAGCGGAACCAAAAAGCAAGTTGAAGACCCTGTATGTCGGTTCTGTGCCTGTGCTCGTTCTCAAGTCCCTTGGCGCAAAGATGGATTGGGGCAGATCTGCAAGAAATGCAGCGCAGGAAGGCGCAAGGAGAACAGAGCGGAGGCAAAGAGACGCCGCGCAGAAGCGCAGTCCCTCTAGATGTTGCGTTTTCCAGGGCCATGTACAGTGCGGCGAGCCGATAGAAACGCATGCTTTTGGAGAGAGGTGGCCGGAGAAGCAAAGAGTGGGCAGGGCTGTTCTGGATTCTGTGTGTGATGTCGGCTTGCAATTGCGTCCCGTTTTCTCATCAAAGCTGTGAGAGACTTGACGACCAAAGCTTTGAGAGAGCAGCGACTGTTTTTGAGTGTTGGTAAGCTGAGAGAGCAGGGGCTGTATATGAGTTTTGGTATGTTGACATTACTGTAACACTGGCTTTCCCCTATCTCACCCTGAGCTGACAGGACCGGCAGAAGCAGCAATGGAGCTTGACGATGCAAAAGGCGGTGCTGCTTCAGAGCTGGCAGCTGTTGCAGACGGACTGCAAGTATTCATTTTCTATAGGCGATCGATGTTGTGGCGCAGTCGGGTTTGCATAGATTTTTATCCACATCGAAGTGGGTATCGGCGAGAGCTATTGATGTGCAAGGCAGAAGCAGGCACATGATGCAGCAATAGGGCTCATCACGCCATCTCCTTGCAAGCCTGCCTTATCACCGCCTGAAAGCTCACACCATCTCCTCGCAAGCCTGCCTTGTCACCACTGGGGGGTCAGACACAACAGTGCCAAGAACAGGCGCCAGCATTGGGTTGATTCCGCCGCAAGCGAGAAGTGAGCAATTATGGTTTGGGAGAGTGCAAGGGCATTTGGACGGTGCAAAGAAGAGAAAGCAAAACCAATATTTAGTGGAGTGGCGTGAACACATGAGTGAACAAGACAAAGACGCTTTCCGCGCTCGTGCGCGTGAGTTGGGAGGGGAAGAAGTAGGACCTGCAGTGGAATCAGTATCTGGTTCTGCTATGAATGTGGATGCGGAGTTGAAGGCTGATTCGCAAGATGTGGAAGCCGAGCCGCCTACGAACGTGGATGCCGAGTTCCCTCGGCTGACCATCCCACAGGACTACGCAAAGGATGCCTTGGTCTCAGAATACAAAGGTATTTCCAAGTCTCATGAATTGCGCGTTGCCAATGACCAAGCTAGGTGGGAGCTCTATGGAAATTTTGTGCTCCTGCTCCGTCGAGGTGATGTGCAGAAAGGCAGCATAAAAGACAAGCTGCTGCAGCCTTTGCATTTGTCTCGAAACAAGCTGAGCGAAGTCTTGCGCTATGTGGGGGAGGGGGCAGTACCTGCTTCATGCCCACCACCTTTTCGCAGCGGAAGATCGCCTGAACTGCGATTGACAGAGCAGGAAAACAATGATGTGCTCAACCTGATCATGTTCCATGCGGACACTGGGCAAGCAAAGCACTCTCCGTGCAACAATGCAATCTTGCTTTGACGCTCCTGCGCATGGAGAAGGAAGGGGTTCTTGAGGAGCCTGGCCTGACGGCCGCGGAAACATTAGCTTTGGCACGCCTGGAAGAGCTCTCTGAATTCTACCGCATGGACAGCGCATGGGAGACTTTCAAGCGGTGGGTCCACACCAGTCAGCCTGAGGAGAAGTGGCTTCGGGTTCGTGCGTTGAAGCTCCGTACCAAACCAGAACATGCAGCCATCACACCTGCGGTCATCGCTCGATGCTATGACAGTTTGGAAGCACTGTTGCAGGAGGTAGGGATCATGGACGGTGACAAGGTCATTCGTCATCCGCAGAGACTGTGCTGCTGTGATGAGAAAGGTTTGAGTCAAAGAAGCGATTCTTTGCAGACAGGTGTGGCAGTAAAGTCTTCCAAGCCAACTGGCACAAAGCCAGATGTTTCTTGGGATCATATTTCCATCCTCTCTTTTCTCCCACTTTCTGGAGATATGTACCCACTTGCTGTGATTACGCCAACAAAGAGAATCCACCCAGATTTTGAAACAGCGCTGCCTAATGCCAAGTTTGTGGGGAACCCATCAGGAAGTGTGACGGCAAGCTCCTTTGCTTTTTTTGTATCAGAGTGCTATGGCAAACATGCCAGGGAAGTTCTTCGTATTCCAATGGATCAAAGCTTGGTTTTGATCCTGGATACGGGTGGCGGCTGCCTTTTGCATTTGAATGCTCATGTGCTCAGAGCAGCCATGAATGAAATGGAACATCCGCTTGTTTTATCTGCCGGCATATGGCACGCGTGCCTTAATGCCCTTAGATCAAAAATCCCACCAGGCCATGGCGTCTGATTGGCAAGCGTTCAAGAGAAGTTGGAGCAACAAGCAGGAACCTCTCACTCTTTGTGTGGCCCTCAGAGCTGTGCACGCTTTCACATCCAGATCCTTGGGGCCTCGCATGGCAAAGGTGTCATGGAAAAGAATCGGAATCGAGGCAGACCAGCCGTTGAATCGTGACATGCTCTTTGTCAATAGGGCCTCAGAGATCTTTAGCACTGTGCGGGAGAAGCAACAGCCCCAGCCGCAAAGCGCGGCGCTCTCCATTTTCAAAGAAGTGAGCCCAAAGAAAGCAAAGTGCAAAGGGAAAGGCTGTGGACAATTGCTGAGCTCAACTATGAAAATCTGCTTCAACTGCGGGCTGCAAAACCCAGACTTTGACGAGAAAATGCACAAGGTGCACCAGCAAGGTTTCCGCAGTGGATGGAAGAAATCGCCTCAGACAGACAATGTGTGCGATGACAAGGAGCTCACCTCTGCTGAGAAAGCTTTGCTGTCCCAGGTTGACGACTTGACAAAAGAGCTGCTTGCCGTGCATGATGGTTGGGCCCCTTTGCAGTGTGAGAATGTGTGTGTGTGACATGTGCGCGCATATCTAGCAATAAGTTATCGTTCTTGCTGAGCAAAAGGTTGAATACATATTTTCCAGGAAATGGTGACTTTGTGTTGTTTCAGAGATGACTGCAGATGCTTAACGACAGCTGCATGGTCAGCGCCAAACCTTGCTCATTGCCACTGTATAACTAGTGTCCAAAGATAGCTGTGCAGGTTGCTGCGGAGAAAGCAGACGCCAAAGGATGGCGAAGAGAAGCCAGATAGCAGCAAAAAGCCAGACGCAGAAGCAGTTGCGCCAGCTGAGCCACCTACCGGTGCCGGTTCTTCATCTGAAGAAACGAGTGAAGAGAAGGAGTTTGATTTGAATCTTGCGGATGACTGCGTAGAGTGGATGCTCTCTGCTTGGGCTCCAAAAATCCCAGATGAGGCAAAACCCGTTTGCGCCTATTTTGTTGAGTCGCATTTGCGTCCTAAGGTCTGCAAAGGCCAGCCTCTCACTCTGGTTTAGGAAAGAAGTGATTGATTCAGGATTGTTGGAAACAAAGGACAAGAGAAGGCAGTTCCTGCAGACTTGGAAGGCCAATCGTGCTACCAGGTTCTGCAAAGGACCTCAAGAGATTTGGGCGAAGAAGGGGTAAAACAAGCTCACCTTATTTGCGTTCCTCTTCAGATCCTGGTGGTCAATGTTCTGACTCACAAAAAAGATAAATGAAGTAAGATGCGTGTTCTATTCCATGTTGCGGGCTTATGTTATTGAACAATTCTTGGTTCACATACGGCGTTCCATGGGGATTTGCATCTTCTCTTGAGTAAACTTGTCTTACTTGAGGTAGCTGTGTGCACAGCGTTCCATTGGGATCTATTGGTTGAACCTTCCAAAATGAACTCGAAAGAGCACTTGCTGATGCACAGCGTTCCATGGGGTTTTGAACATCAGTGCATTGACTTGTTTGACTTCCTGAATGCGCGGCGTTCCATGGTGAACCACATACCTGACAGACATTGCATTGAGTTTCCCGGATGGGTGTAGTAGTAGTAGTAGTAGTAGTAGTAGCAGTAGCAGTAGCAGTAGCAGTAGCAGTAGCAGTAGCAGCAGGAGGAGTAGTAGTAGTAGTAGTAGTAGTACCAGCAGCAGTAGTAGTAGTCAGACACGCAAGCATTTGCAGCTCTCAGTTGGCAAGGATCTTAGGGGGCAGAACGATAAAACAGTTTGCGCATTAATCCCGCCCCTAAACAATATTGATTCTGTATTCACTTCCCCTGGGCTTGTGTACTACCCACTGCAAAAATTGTTTGGACCAATCATTTCAATGAATTTTAATGATGGGTGAAAGGACTTTTATTTTGTTTTCACCCACTAAACTGTTCAGGGATGTTCAGGGTGTGGGATTGTTTTTGTAGCAAACACTTTTTATTATCCCCTCCCACTTGACTATTTCGGATTCGACATGAATTACAAGTCATGGACTTTTGCAAAGACATGATTCGGTCCGCACGAAGAAAAACCCCACCGGTGGACACCCGCAGTTCATCCCGTTCACGCGAAATCCGAATTCCCGCCTCATTGGGACGTGGTCGGCTGGTGAAAGGATGCGCGTGTGACGCGCGCGCGGGGAGGATGATGCCCGTTGACCGAGGCGAATGCTTCGATCACTGAAACATGGGCGTCTTTCGAGCACTGAAAGGCTGTAACCCAATAGTACTAGCAGATGCAGCAGTGGAGTTTGCGAGGGTGGTTTGCCTGATCTTGCCTGCCAGGCGGCCAACTTCCCGGTGGAGAAGAGGCGCTTGAGACGACAACTTCAATGATCCAGAGCCCCAAGCTACAGCTTTGGATCAAATTCAGTGGCAGGTTTGACTCCTGGTCAGTGTGTTTTCTCTTAAACACATCATGATCAACAATAACAAAGGATCTGATTGTACACTGGAGCACTGGATGTCGGTTCTTCTAGGGACTTCCGCAAAAATCAAGGGGGATCTCTATACGCCAAGTTCGTCAGTCTTCGCAGCATGATTGTCTGAAAGTGAAGGAATCACAACTTTTACCCCTTGACAACTGAGCCGGCAGACGGAGTTTTTCATGGCACCACGAGCATTTTCGAGTGCCCCTGGAAGCTTGCCCAAGCTTGAGGCCATGCCAGTCTGCAGATCCGGTGTTCGACTGAGTGGAGCTTTCAGACATTCGTCATTTCAACCGATGATTGAACCTATACCCTAGGGCTCCAAGTACCTCCTTAGAAGGTATTTGGACCCTCTAAACCCTCTGCAAACACCTTCTAAGAAGGTACTTGGAGCCCTAGGGATACTGACTATTGCTGACTCATATAATATACCAGGACCCTCCTGTCGGGGTGTCCTGGCTGGACTACCCCACACTACCTATAGGCTTCCAGACGGGGCACCCCGACAGGAGGGTCCTGGTATATTCTATATATTATGCATTCGTGAGTTGAAACCATACCAAAAGAATTGCAGGAGTTCTCCTTTAACACTTATTACGAACGTTCATCGTTGGTCTACGTCGGACGGCACGACCTTTGTCGGAAATTGGCTTGTTGAGACCAGACCTTAAACTCTTTCAAACGAAAGACCAAATCCGAAGTCCTCTTGGAGCTCTTTCTCTTAGGGTCCGTATGCCATGGAAAACCTGGCCATGCGACACTCGTGCCTTCTCTCACCACCGTGTCCTGGTCCAGGCGCACACTGAAACCACTGGTGGAGTACCGAGAGAAGAGCGAGAAGGGCGAGAATGAGGAGTCTGGAGAGAAGTTAGGCCACGAGTCGACCAGTCTGGACCACTTGAGTGGCGACCTGAAGTTCTGCTACCCATTGCTACAGACCTGGTCTTGAACTCTGATTGATCGTTTGTTCAACTGTCCGGGCCTCTGAAAGAGGTTTTAGAATCCATGGTTTGGGGGGTGTTACTTGTATGTATCAAGAGTCTACCCCCAAAAAGTAAAGTTCATCATTCATCGATGTGCATGTGGGGTTGCACTGGGCTGCGGGAACTTTCAGACGTCTGCTGAGGAAGGACATGTTTGGAAAGACATTTTTCGTGATTGGGGCTTATCACCAGGGGGGTCTTAAGGGGGGGTCTTAACAGCCAGTAACAGCCCCAATGATGTACCTTACCGTACCTCAGCCTGGCTGCTACTAGGCCTGGCTGTACCAGGTGATCTGATTGGCCTGGTAACAGCCAGGCCTTGATCATCAGTTGAGTCTTTTTCGGTTGAGCCTCCACTTCGTGTTTACACTCCACATGGAAGTGGCAAATGTCCTGTCAGAAACAACTGCTTTTAACAAGCAGGCGGTTGTCCATGTCCTGCCCACAAAGTGGATAATTAACCTGCACAATCTTTTTGCGGATTGGTTTCCCTACTAAACAAGAACACATGAAAACAAGTTTAAACATGCTTACTGTTTAACCTCTATTTTCCAGGCGCCACGCCCACCTTCAGTCATTCTGTATACTTGGCTTCCAGAAAAACCACGCAGTCACAAAGAAGCACACATATCTGCGCAATTTAGAGCGAGGACTGACGAGGTACGAGGTGAACCTTTGGAATTTAAAGAGGTAAATTAACTTAACTTCAGACAACAAGGTGGGCAGAAATTGCTTTCAAAGCATGTAACGAGTGAAAAGAAACTTTTCGGTATCCAGAAAGTTTTTTTCCCAGCGCCTGTGTCCTTCATCATTTTGGCGCAAGCCATTCCTTAGGATCTCTGCACGTTCTCTTATCCCTGTGACATTCAGCCATCAGTGTGAACTAAAAGAAAGGGTGCAGAATTAAGGGTGCATTCAGACCCCGTGGGAAAAAGAACTTTCTGGAGTCCGAAAAGTTTTTTATCGCAAGTTCAAGTCAGAGCCCTGTGGTGGCTCCATTGTCCCAAAAAGCTTTTCGTGGTCTGTAAAGTTTGTTACGAAAGCCAGCCTTCGTAGAAGGCGCTAGCGGAGTTGTGTCTGGCGAACGAAGTGAGTAGTTAGGGGGTCTGGGGGGGTGGCCCGAGAAAGGTACACGTCAACTCGGCACATGCTGGGGGAGGAGGGTGCTCCGCGGGAAGGTTTTTTGAGGTTGTGTTGGAGGTGATTTTTGAGGGGTGGTGTTGCAAGAAATGCCAAATGCATCATTTGCATCATCTGAATGGGAAGGTGTAGTTGGCACCTTGCAAGGTATAGAGACCTAGGGTAGCCATAGTGCAGCTACCAGGTATAGTACTTCAAGTTGCCTTTCCGTCAACCGCTTGAGAACCTCTACACACGCACAGCAATCCACAGCTTTGAAGTCTCATTCGTGCTTTGAACTTGTATAGGTGTGTAAGAGGTATAGCAACATAGTATTTATACGGACCCAGGGTAGCTACAAGTAGCTACAGCTCTGTTCCCGGGTATGGCGCGCATGAGGCTTCAAAGCTGTGGTTTTCAAGCTAAATTCAAGGTGGCCTGAGACCAGGGTTTGCTGCCCTAAAACACTCTGTTCAGGCCACCTTGAAAATAAAGGTGTAGTTGGCACCTTGCCAGGTATAGACACCCAGGGTAGCTATGTAGCTGTTGTTTTCAAGCTAAATTCAAGGTGGCCTGAGACCACGGTTTGCTGCCCTAAAACACTCTGTTCAGGCCACCTTGAAAATAAAGGTCTTGTAGCTACAATTCTGTTCCCAGGTATGGCGCGCATGAGGCTTCAAAGCTGTGGTTTTCAAGCTAAATTCAAGGTGGCCTGAGACCAGGTTCAGGCCACCTTGAAAATAAAGGTGTAGTTGGCACCTTGCCAGGTATAGAGACCCAGGGTAGCTATGTAGCTGTGGTTTTCAAGCTAAATTCAAGGTGGCCTGAGACCACAGTTTGCTGCCCTAAAACACTCTGTTCAGGCCACCTTGAAAATAAAGGTGTAGTTGGCACCTTGCTAGGTATAGAGACCCAGGGTAGCTATAGTGCAGCTACCAGGTATAGTACTTCAAGTTCCCTTTCCGTCAACCGCTCGATAGCCTCTACACACGCACAGCAATCCACAGCTTTGAAGTCTCATTCGTGCTTTGAACTTGTGTAGGTGTGTAAGAGGTATAGCAACATAGTATTTATACGGACCCAGGCTAGCTTCAGAAGAGCACTCCGATACTTCACTTACAGCACTCCTTGAAGAGCATGAGTCGCTTGCGCATAGCCACCAGAAACAAAGGATCTTAGTCTTACTGGAAGTGGAATGAAACACCAGGACCTTCAGAATGACCTCTTTGGAGTCTCCAAGTGACCTCATTCGGGACTAAGTGACTAAGTGACCTCATTCTGGGATCTCGGATGGTCACTTTGAAGGTCCTGGTAGACACCAAATGATGTCAATGTGGATAGATTTGGCTACGGCCTAAAACATCGGATTCCATCCAAACCCCCCCTGTGCAGAGGAAAAATCCGGGCAAAATGACACCGAACCCCTCAATTGCCAGGAAGCGCAGGTTTTTGTTTTGACATGGTTACCTCTGTGTGAGCAGAACAAGACATGAAGCAGATTTGACACGCGGCCGCAAGCAGCTGCGCGAGCTTGCTTGCTTCGACGCGCAGTTGTCGAGAAAGGGCAGCGCTGGCTTTCGTTTTGCAGCTTCTCAGGTTGTTTTTTTGGAGGCGTATGTCATGTTTGTGCGGCAGTTCCGCGCCTGCATTAGCCATGCAACTCATGGCCAAAGTTGCCGTAGTCTAGTGGTATGGTTTGCGCTTCCATTCTCGAAGTCTCTGGTAGAGATTGATCCCGACGATGCGCGTCCCCTCGGCCACCCTATCGCCCTGAGATCGAAAAAACACTTTTTGTCGCCCAAAAAGTTTTTTTTGCCGACAATGCCCCTGCCCGTCCTTCCATCTTAAACAAGATGAGTTTTGTGAAAAGATGAAGAAGGAGGCACAGGACTAGTTCGAATGGCTTGCGGTCGGGAAAGAAATGTCAGCGTTGGGACAAGGACTGAAGTCCGTTTTGAATTTAAACGAGGCAAGGACTGCAGATTTAATCAGAGGTGAAAAGTAGATTTAACGAGGGAACCGTTTTGAATTTACAGTGAATTGACCAGACATATCCCACCGGGGCACTTTCCAGAAAAGGACGGACACATCCGCATCGCCTCTCTTTGTCTCGACTTGGCTTTCAGAAATGTTCCCCCATCCCAGGCAGTCAACTTTTCTAACTCCTAGGACACCATACCGTCCGACCCATAAGAAGCGGACTTTATCTTGGGGATTGGGGAGAAATTGGGACGCCCCAACCCCCAACCATGCACACCAAGAGGGTGGAACTCGTAAAGGTTCACCTTCTTCCTTTCCAGACCAACGAAACAAGTAATGAAACGGTCAGCCGCTCCAGGCGTTGTTTTGGAAGCGCCGCAAGAAGCACCAAGGGTGGACCCGTTGGTCGCGCGGACCAGGCGAGAGCGAGTTCGGGCCTGGTGGAAGCAGAGTTCGGGTCCAAGAGGGCGAACTATAGGTTCTTGACTATATTTCAACACCCCAAGTATAGAGAATTTGTTCTGAATGTCTGGGTGGGGAATCCTATGAAGAAAAAGAAACGACATGACCCGTTACCCGTTACCCCAAAAAGTAAAGTTCATAAATTCATCGATGTGCATGTGGGGTTGCACTGGGCTGCGACTTTCAGGAATCTGCTGAGGAAGTCCAAGACGATCAAAATAAGACCCCCCAAACCACCCCAATGTAGGCATATATGGCATACATGGAGTGTCTGGGTAAGAGTCTCGCGTGCCAGGGCACCGGATATCGGGGTTCGCTTCATCCATGTCGGACACGTCGGACACGTCACTTTGCCTTGGTGCAGGGTCGAAGTGGACGGTGGTTTGCCCAGGTGGACCGGTGGTTTGCCTTGGTGGACCAGGTAGAAGTGTTTTCCTTCCCTTTTTCCCGGCTGCAAAGCTCGGTGCCTTCGTTCTTTGGTCGATCCTCCGGGCGACGGCCATGGGTGCGACCCCGACCCCGCCCCCGGCCTCGCCCTGGCCTGAAGTTGACTCCAGAGAGTCGAGGGAGAGTTCGGGGAGTCCGATTCTTTTCATGAAAAGGAACGAGGAACCGGTGTGCAGAGACCTGGTGGGGTCAAGGGATGTGCAGGGGCCGTTGTTTTGGATTGTTCGTTTCAAGGTTGTTCAGTTTCTTTCAATTCCCCAAAAAGAAGCAATCCTTTGTCAGAGGGCAGCCACAGTCATCCATTCAAACTGCACGGCCCCTTGGGGCCTACGTGTCGCACTATCCCAAGTTTGGTCTCCACTTAGTGGTCTACTTCACCTGGTCTTAATCCCCAGAAACTCAGATTTTGCGTCAAAGAGCTGGTGATTGCTGCTGACCGTGGCCACTTGGGTAAACTGGGTGCGTCGTGGTAAACTGGGTGCGTCACCGCTTTCGTCCGAGCCTTCAGGCGCAGCCTTTGGACCATGCGAAGGCGAGTGTGGCGAAGCAAATCCAAACGCTTTGAGTGTCCATACCCTAGGGCTCCAAGGTGGTTAGACCCCCCAAACCCACCATACCATAACCATCTTCTCAGGAGGTAGGCCAGGAGCCCTAGGGATAGATGGGCTGTCGAGAATGGTTTGGTTATGTTTGGTTACGTCACATGTTGCTTCACAGGATGGGAGTAACATGGAGTAACATCCATGGAGCAGTTATTGCCAGGTAGATCGGGAGTAACCGCAGATCCCCCAGCCAATCCATCAAAACGGTGAGGTCGACCGGTGGACCTCTGCAGATGCACTCCGACTTAACATGGACGTGGATGGCGCCTCCTGTTTGTAAAGCAAAGTAGTCTTCCATGGGACCATGCCATCCACTTGCTTCCATGTGATGTGTGAAGCTCAGAGTGTGCACTCCCTCTGGTCTATATCCCTCTATTCTTTGACTCACTTGACTCATGGTTCTCTTCGCTATAATGTAGACTCACTCTCTTTACAAAACCTGACAAACCTGGCACCCCGTTCTTCTTTGTTTTCTTGCACGGCCGCTTGGGGCCTGCGCCGTGCACGTAGAGTCAGGTCTCAATGAGCCAGAACCCAGTCGTGCAAGGCGTTGCAAGAACGCACAGGTTCTTATAGACTATATGATCATATATAATCTATCTAGACGATGCATGCATACGTTCTTTTCCAAGAGCTACAGAAGTATGCATATTCATGTGTTTCTTTTCAACATTAGCTCCAAGCCTCTTGCTTTTCCAGGGTTTGCTGGATCAGAACATCCACAGGCACAGCCACGAACGTTTTTCACTGTCAGAGGCTTGCCGAAGTCAAACAGAGATCAGAGATCTTTGATTTGTGAGCTACCTCAACTTCCAGGTTCCAACACACAACAAATCCAAGGCCTCCGTGCCGCGCTGGCAGGCAATTGGGTGAGACCTTTCAGAGGAGAAGGGCAATCACTGACGAGGCCCAGAATCGATCCCCAAATGACTCAGTGATGTCAGGCAGATAGCATGCCAAGGTTCTGTTGAATATAATGGCATATGCATGCAAAGAACAGAATGTTGGTGTCCAAACCACCATAAGCAGTAAGCAGGTACTCGTAGCTTACAACCCTACAGTAGCTTCGTACCACAGAGCCAGACGACTTCGCGGAAGATCATGTGCTCTCAAAAGACGTTTGTGCTTTCAGATGTTTTCTGATGTCACCCTAGGGCTCCTGTCCCATCTCCTCAGGTTCGGTGGTTAGACCCCCCCTGGCATCCACCCCAACCACCGAACCGAAAAGGAGGTGGGCCAGGAGCCCGATGGGTCATTGCTTCAGTATCTCTCTAGAGTCTCTTTAATGAGCAAGACTTTCTCCCGTGGCAAGCTGCAGATGCCAATGCTTTCTTTCTGCACAGATTGGCTTTTCTGAAAACCAGGTTGATGCAACCTGTTTGTACATAAGAAGGGAGGGGGGACACGTATAAAGACACTCGTAATGCGTATGAACAGGTTGAACACCACGGATTGGAAGGCACCCTGTCACCACCATTAATTGAAGACATCTGACCACAAGCACCTCAAAAATGGGCTGCCTGGACCTTTAACCTTGAGGAGCTCCCAGCGGTTTCAACCGGCCATGGCAGGGCCTTTCTTCAGGGGGCTTCGGTGTCGCGGTGTTTCAACCCTGCGCGTTGCAGCCGGACGTCCCAGATGGGCCTGCTGTGTCGCCCGGTGGCAGCGGCAGCGGAGATGGAGAGTGGAACGCGGGCTGAGACCATGTCCGGGGCACCAAGACTGGAGACCTGGAGACTTGGAGGAAGAATTGAGGACCCACTCGAGCTGGAGACTCGGTGGGTGACTTGGTGGAAATGAAGGGGGAGACTTGGGGGAGACTTGGAGGAAGAACTGATTGGTGGAAATCTGTGTGGAGAGATTTCCTACGACCCACTCGAGTTGGGTGCTTGGGTGGTCATGGCGTTCGATCTGTGCCAGAGTGGAGTGGTCAGTGAAGGGGTCGTGGGTCGACACATCGAATCAGTTCGCCGCCCGGGGCGATGAAAGACACCTGAAATGGGGGGGCCTTGGTATGTCCGTGAATGTTTGGGTGAACCATTGGATATTTTTGTCCCCTGTGACATAGTGTTCGATATTACTTAATTCAAAAGGAACCCAATTGTGCACGTGTGTATTTTGCGGTTACTTTGTGTTGTTCTTAGGTGCATTGTTCTTTTTCATATTCATAATGAAAGGACCTGGACCCGTTTTGTGAGTTTGCTCTTGGGCGACACCGTGGGGGTTTGAGTGACCGTCACGGCCAAAAAGACAAACAAATATCGAAGTGAGGCAGACGAGTTTGTAGAAACGGATCCTTTGATCGACTTATTGGCTATACATCCCTAGGGCTCCAACCGTATCCTCAGAAGGTGCCTAGACCCCCATGGCACCCACCATAGCTACCACGATCGAACCGGAGATAGGGGAGCCCGTCTACGGGCATGATCACCCTAGGACACGGGGCATCACGGGGCCGCACCGGTTTTCTCTGTTCTGTTTCACCCTGGATCGTGGTGAAGAACTCCCACAAGGTGTCTTTATTTTTTTTGGAAATCCGAAACCATAGGCGACAATGTAAGTAATGTAGGTGCGGTGCGGTGCGGTGCATATATTTTATTGTGATGTTCCATTGATATACATGCAGTGGCAGGGTATTTCTACTTCTGGGGGGCCGGAAGACTTGTCATTGACTTCTGCAGTGTTTGACTTCGTGCCGTGCTGACCTACCCAGTGAAATCCATCCATTGATGTGTGAGGATCCAATTCCCCTGGGATTGACATCTCCTTTCTTGTTGGTGGTGAGTACTCGCAGAGGACCCGGACTGACAGATCTCCCAGCACCAGATTATTGTCCTCAGGATCCGAAAGGGTCCGGACCTGACACCTTGGGCCAAGGGTCGAAGCCTCCTGTGAAAACTGGGCTAACTGGGACGAACGAACGAAACCGTTTTTGGAGGGACGGTGCTCGATCCTCGGAGCGGGTGGATGGTTCTCCATCGCTTCAGCGGTCCAAAGGGTCGGTGAAAGGGTCCATCAAAACACGGAGCTTGGCTCGGTCGGTGGAATGAAAAACAACGGCCCAAAATGCATCATCAAGAGTAAGTGATAGTAAGTGGTATGTTCACTGTACCCTGCAAGTTGGATGAACATGGGGCAATTGGGTTTGTAACAGATTGTAAGATGAAGAGTAGGTGTTAAACCCTGGTGGGTGTGGATTCCCGGTAGATACTCAGTCAGATACTGTATGTTTCTACAATGGTCGGTGTTTCACAGTGACTGCGGTGTCCGAAGGTGTTACAGTTTGCGCCAAAATCCACATTTTTTTTTTGTATCCGGGTCAAGATGCCTCAGTTCATTTTACTACAAATGGAAGCAGATTCCAAAGAAGCAACAATGACAATCCCGCTGTCGATCTGTTTTGTGCAACCTTTCAGACAACTGCGCCACACTGCAGCAGACTTGAAATCAGAGATGAACAGTTGGGGAAGATCAAGAGCCCTCTCAAGAGAGGGTGCTTCGTGCTCCTTGGTGTTTTGAAAGCCAACACCCAAGCAGCCAACACCAGCAGGTGCGCCCCACAGGATCCCTCCCGAAGAGGTTGAAAGTCTGAGCTGTGGGGACTGATTGAAAGAGGTGGATATCACCTTTAAGCACCTTCACTTGAAGGATATTGAACATGATAGACAGTTCTTAGACACAAAAGAGTGGGTTCACCTGAAGGATATCACCTTAAGCACCTTCACTTGTTTTGAACATGTGCGTCACAAGTCAAGCTCTTAGAAGCGCCGGTGCCGCTGGATGCCGGTGCCGCTGGCCGCGCCATGCTGATTCTAGAGTTTCATCCGCGTGGGCTGCTGGTGAAAGGCCTCGAAGAGTTTTGAAAACGAGTGAAATCATGAGAGCCATCGAAGTGAAAACACTCAGAAGTAAAACATCAGGAGGGTTACGCCCTTTTTGCCTTTAAGGTTTCGCGGAATGAGTGAAAACCACCTGGCAGTGGTAGTTTGGAGTTCACATGGTTGTCTTGGATGGCCATCCACTCCCACCATGGATTCTTCCCGAGAAATGTAGAGAGGAGACTTGTCCTTAGGCCTTCCCGTCCTTCCCACCGTGTGTGCCACTTCAGTGTGTAACGCCAAAGAGAAGAACCAGTCTAGCCAGTCATCACATTCTGTAGCAGGAATCCAGCAGGCTGTTACTTCTTCGCAAGACACAGACAAATCACATGTGAATCCATGTGAATCCACACGAAAGGGGGGGTATGGGCCCCAGGAGTTGTTGGAAGATGAGTCAGTCTTTCTTGGACCAAGTTTCGTGATCGGCGGAGTTGTGGCACACCTGGAGTGCAGACTTCCCCCCTTCGAGCAGAACTTGCCAAATTGCAAATTGCAAGTCACCTTCTGGAAGGTTCGACACAAAAGTGAAAAACGACTCTATTCTAGTGAGAATAATATAGAATAATGGGATTTCAAGGCTTACGCCTGAAAGCGGGCTAGGCCAGGCAGGTAAGCAGAGCAGGTGCAGGCGTCAGGAGGGTGTGTAGGGCGTGTAGGGCGCAGGCGGTGTAAGCAGGGCCTCGTTCTCTTCCTCTTGTTCTCTTTATATATATATATATCTCTCTCTCTCTCTCTTTCTCTCTCTGTCTTTCTCTTCCGCCTATACCTTTCTCTTTCTCTTCCTCTTGGTTTTTCTCTTCCGTCCGCTTGCTCTTGCTCTGGCTCTTTCGCTGTCTCTCGCTCTTTCCCTTTCACGTTCTCTTCCTCTTTATCATCTTTATCTTTCTATTTCTCTTCCTTTTTCTTTTTCTCTTTTTCTTTCTCTTTCTCTGGCTCTGTTCTTTCTCTTGCTCTTCCTCTTTCTCTTCCTCTCTTCCTCTTTCTTCTTCCCTTTCTCTTTATCTTTCTGTGGAAGAGGAAGAGAAGGAGAGCAAGCAGAAGCACAAAGTGCTCATATTGCAAGCCCACTCGGGCAGCATATCTTGCACCACTGGCCTTTGAAAACGATTATCTTGGAGCTATGTTGAGGCTATGTTGATCTCTCTTGGAGCTATGTTGAGACTAGGTTGCTCCATCTTGCCGCCGACCCCCCCTTTAGACAATTCTTGACGCAGTGTCTTGATCTCCACCACGCCTCCCTCGTATCTAGAGCGCTGACCACGAAATGTGCACGGGGTTGCGCTCGACACCTTCAGATCCCAAATCTCGCCAGACAATTTGATGGTTGATACCGAGCAAACGACCCGCCAAGCCAGCAATGGCAAGTGCAACGGCAAACAAACCGATTTTTGTCAGCGCATAGTTCAGGAGATCACATGGAGATCAACGCAGAATTGCTGGCAGAAGAAGGTGCGACACAGGAGCCGTTGCTGGGTTCTGCACAGCGGCCCAGGCACAGGAAAATTGTACATGGTGAAAATGATTCGCGAAGAGCTGTTTGAACATATTGCCGGGTGGACACGTGGGTCGCAATACCATATTGGGATGCTGCAAGGGGTCATGGCCACGATCTGAATGGGGATACCATTCACCACCCTCTTAGTGCGGTAATGGAAGAACTCGCTTCCACCCAGCAGTACCTGACTGCTGCTGCAAGCCAAGAATGCACCAGGCAGCAATGCAACTTGTGATTCTGCAGGAGCATGCGGTCACAGAGCCTCCCAAACGATAGAGGACTTCTCAAACTACGTGATTTTGGCCGGTGCTTTGTGGCAGTTGCCACCCCCGCGCGGACCTTCTTGGTAGACGTTTTTGGGAAATGCTGACTGCCTTCGCCACAGCCTTGCTGCCTGCATCTTGTTCAACGTTGCCTTCGGACGAAGCGGTAGTCCAGGATGAGCACCTCCTTAAACCCACTGAAAAAGCAAGGGATAGGTCACAGCCAGAGCGCAGGCACACGGACCACGAAAAACCGTCAGTGTCGCCACACCGAAACACCCTGGTCCTAGGCGCGGGTCTTGGGACTGAGCCCTGCCACTGTCTAACGTCGCCTTCTGAGCCTCATATTACAGTGACGCGCCCCCACTACCCGCGGCAGAGCCCGCAAGGGCCACGCAAAGCGTTCAGTGTCGCCACAGTCTCGCCGCATAGACCCCCATGGCTTCTGTAACATGACCCGCCCAAAGTCCCGCCCTGCCGCCACCATGTCGCCACTCCTTGAAAAAGCAGCCCACGGCCTTTGTGAACGTAAGCATTCCCCTGACGGCGCTCTGATCCGCCCATCGCCCGGGGTCGGCGGATCAGTTGACGGTCAGATTATACACATGTTCGGCACAACCTAGGGCATGTCCGTCGTTTCCTCCACCTAGCCGGGCCCGAACAGCCTGCTTTCCCGCGGGCCACGTGGGCCCAGCCAGTTGGCCTTTTTGGCGCAGGTGAGACCTATGCAGCCCGAGAGTGCTTGAAGGACGACCCAGAATGACCCAGGGCGACCGGGTGGGAAAGCACCTCCCTGGTGTGGATCAAAAGTAGGAGTCGAGGATTGCCATCCATCAAAAGCGGGTGGATCCTGCTAGATCCGAGAAAAAAATCTGGCCCTTATTGTCCATGTTGTGCATTCCTAAGTCTGCAAGTAGACCTGTAAGCCTGTAAGTGGCAAACCATTTTTTTGCTTTGATCTCCTTTTTCTAGTGGCCCTCAAAAAGCATATCAAAGTTGCTCCTTCTCCAAGGGCTGCTAGCTTGTGCTCCGCCAACAACCGCCACTGTGGCCGCCGCCGCGACGAACCG